AGCCTAGGAGTTGGAGGTTGCTGTGAGCTGTGATGCCATGGCACTCTACCCAGGGTGACAGCTTGAGGCTCTGTCTCAAAAAAAAAAAAAAAAAAAGATTGTGCCTGTGTTGCTCACTCTTTAGTGTTTACCTAGAGGAGAAAGCACTCAGGTGGGACTCTGTTCTCCCTTTGCCCTTCTCTTTTGGCAGGTCAGACCAACTCCAGAGAAGGTAGCCCTCAGACCAGCAGCTCTCAGCCTAACAAAGCCTTCATTGACACTGGGGAGGATGGTTCTTTGGAGTTGGCCAGCCTTCAGGCGCTTAGCATGTTAACTGGCCTTCATCTACTGGCCATTCTTGGGGGAGCCACAAAGACCCCTGTCGTCCTTTAACTTTTCTTCTTCAGCTACCCTGAGTTACTACTACCTCCTGAGATTTTTTTATACAAGTTATTTTGCTTTTTCTTTTTGAGACAGGGTCTTGCTCTGTCACCCAGGCTAGAGTACAGTGGCATCATCACAGCTCATAGCAACTCCAAACTCCTGGGCTCAAGCAATCCTGCTGCCTCATCCTCCAGAGTAGCTGGGACTACAGGCTCCCACCACAACATTTTTTCTATTTTATTTTAGAAACAGAGCCTCAAGCTGTTGCCCTGGGTAGAGTGCTGTGGCATCACAGCTCAGAGCAACCTCCAGCTTCTGGACTCAAGCCTCTGCTCCCAAGTAGCTGGGACTACAGACACCCACCACAATGCCTGGTTAATTTTTAGTTGCAGCTGTCATTGTTGTTTGGTGGGCCTGGCCTGGATTCGAACCTGCCAGCTCAGGTGTACGTGGCTGGCATCTTAGCCGCTTGAGCCACAGTTGCCGAGCCAGAGAGATAGTCATCTTGCTCTTGCTCAGACTTTTCTCAAACTCCTGAGCTGAGGGGATCCTCCTGCCTCGGCCTCTCAAGTAGCTGAGACTACAGGTACCGCCATGATGCCTAGATAAGTTTTTCTGTTTTTGTTGTTGTTGTTGTTGTTGTTGTTTTGAGACAGAGTCTCACTGTGTTGGTCTCTGTAGAGTATAGTGGTGTCATAGCTCACAGCAACCTCAAACTCTTTTGGACTTAAGCGATTCTCCTGCCTCAGCCTCCCAAGTAGGGGGTACTACAGGTGCCTACCACAACACCCAGCTATTTTTTGGTTGTAGTTGTTGCTGTTTGGCAGGCCCAGGATGGGCTCGAACCCACCACCTCCAATGTATGTGGCTGTTGCTCTTGCTCAGGCTGGTCTCAAACTCCTGAACTGAAGGGATCCTCCCTCCTCAGCCTCCCAGAGAGCTGGGATTATAGGCATGAGACACCCTGCCCAGCCTACACAATTGATTTAAGACTTACTCCTGAGTCCCCCGCACTATTTTACATTGTAGCTCCACTCAGCCTACTTGCCTCTGATTTTTTAGCTCCCTTCTGGTGCTGCTTCCAGTCTGCAGTGGGCTGACAGGAATTATAAGTACATGTAAAACCCTGGTAAATTGATTCAGAATAGAGGCCCCCAAATGGGCAAAGTGCTTGGCTTCCCTTCCTTGATTTTGAATTCTCTATTCAGTTGGGATTCTTTTGGGTGCTAGAAGTAAAACTTCTGGAAAATTGGAATAATCTCAAGCTATTTTTATTAAATTGTAATAATAGGCCAGGGCACAGTGGCTAATGCCTGTAATCTCAGCACTCTGGGAGGCTGAGGCAGGTAGATTGCCTGAGCTCACAGGTTTGAGACCAGCCTGAGCCAGAGAGAGACCTTGTCTCTAAAAATAGCTGGATATTATGGCAGGCTCCTGTAGTCCCAGTTACTTGAGAGACTAAAGCAGGAAGATCGCTTGAGCCCAAGAGTTTGAAGTTGCTGTGACACCACAGCCCTCCACCGAGGGCAACAAAATGAAGCTCTGTCTCAAAAAAAAAAAAAAAAAAAGCCATTAGTGTGTTCAGGAAGGTTGTCACAGTAGTGACCAGAGAGGAGCGGCTCTAGCAAAAATGACAGTCTCAGCACTGGTGGTGCAGTTGCGGTTTGGCATGTGGAGCGTAAAGGCCATGCAAGCCTGAGGCTTTGCCTTGGATCAGCCCAATATATCGACAGGAGCACAAGCTTGATCCGGGAAGCTGGTGGAGCCTTCAGAAAGAACAGGCGTAAGAGGAACTATATTTCCAGGCACAGGCTAAAGAACAACTGGCAGCCTTGAAAAAACATCATGGAGATTGAGTGTCTACAGAAATTGAGTGACATGGGCGGCACCTGTAGTTCAGTGGGTAGGGCGCCAGCCACATACACTGAGGCTGGTGGGTTCAAACCTAACCCAGGCCAGCTAAACAATGACAACAACCAAAAAATAGCCAGGTGTTGTGGCGGGTGCCTGTAGTCCCAGCTACTTGGGAGGCTGAGGCAAGAAAATAGCTTAAACCCGAGAGTTTAAGGTTGCTTTGAGCTGTGAAGCCACAGCACTCTACCGAAAGTGACATAGTGAAAGTCTTGTCTCAAAAAAAAAAAAAGAGGGCAGTGCCTGTGGCTCAAAGGAGTAGGGCACTGGCCCCATATGCCAGAGGTGGTGGGGTCAAACCCAGCCCTGGCCAAAAACTGCAAAAAAAAAAATAAATAAACTGAGTGACATAAGCAGATCAAAACGCTAAACCATGATGATTACATGTATACAGTTCCCCACAGAATGACACATATCAGTGCCTATTTCTGTGTAAACATAGTTCTGGTTTAATTAATATTTGTCTGTGGCCTACTAACAGATTATAATAAATTATCACCAGTGGGGGGAAAAATTATAATAGCATTCTAAACCCCACAGCCTTTGTTAGCAGTTTTCTTTCCTGACTTCTTTTCGTTTCACTGCTAGTTTTAGGTCCTAGGAGATTGGACCCAGAGTTATAGGCAGAAGACTCCCCTGTGGTGTCATATGGTCAACATGTTGTGGCTTGAGGGTCCAGCCCATCAGACTGATAACCCTTTCTAACTCGGCTCTCCTTCTCTCCTCAGACACAACGGGAACATCCTTTTGGACGCAGAAGGCCATATCATCCACATCGACTTTGGTTTCATCCTGTCTAGCTCACCCCGAAACCTGGGCTTTGAGACATCAGCCTTTAAACTGACCACAGAGTTTGTGGATGTGAGTCAGGAAGGAGAGATGCTTCTGGGGTCACTGTATTCTTTCTCCATCATGAGAGGGGATGTTGATGGCTCCCCACAAATTAGGGTGAGGCAGGATTTCCTGGGAGCTTCCTGCCTGATTAGGGCATAGGGAAACAAGGAAGCTTGGCACAATTCCTGCCCATGATTGGAAAAGGGGTTCTGGCAGTCTGTCTTGACACCTGTGCACAGCTCTCTGCTCTCTTGCCAGGTGATGGGTGGCCTAGATGGTGACATGTTCAACTACTATAAGATGCTGATGCTTCAAGGGCTGATTGCTGCTCGAAAACACATGGACAAGGTGGTGCAGATCGTGGAGATCATGCAGCAAGGTGGGCAGGGAGAGGCTGGGGGCTCACAGTGCCTCGGGAGGCTCCCTGGGTGGGGCCCTGGAGCATAGCACTTCCAGAAATTGATCGACCTCAAGACCTGGGGTGGGTGTGGTTCCCAGAGGGTTTCCTGCTCTGATCTGGTTCTTCAGGACACTCCTCCTGACCCTGACAGAAATGGGTCCAGGGCTGGGGAAGGGGTGACAGCAGCCCCCTCCTGGGCATCTCCAGGAAGAGTACAGAGTCACTGATGCTCCTGGTCCTCTCACCTCCCCATGCCTGCCCAGCTCTGAGCATCTCAGTCCCCTCTTCCCATCTCTTTTCCCTATTCCACTGTGACCTGATTCAGTCCCCATTCCCTTTCTCACCACTGACCCCCTCCTCTAGCTCTGAGCTGAGAACTATTTCCTCTGTCTTTCATCTTTATCTTCTTCCATTTTGCTTTTTCCACATTGCCTGGCCATCTACAGTCTTTGGCCCAGTACTCCTTCCTGTTTATCTCCCTCCCCAAGGCCCCAGGTGGGCACCAGGTCTGAGCTGCCAGTCTCCTCCTCCTCCCCACCCCTGCCCTACCCACAGGTTGTCGTCGTTGCTCAGGAGCATCCCCGTCCGGCCCCGTGATGACGGTGGCCCAGGTCATCTGTGAGTGTCAGACGTAGCATAGGCAGAGGCCTGCAACCAGATAAGTGCCCAGCTCAGGGCCCACTCCCAAGAGCCTCTTCCCAGCCTGCCCTCTGGGTTCTGACTCTGCCCCCCACCCCCTTACTGGGGAGCTGCACTGTTCCTCTTTCCTCCTCTGTCCACATGCCCTCACCTCCAGAGGGGCTGAGGAACCTGGGATGAAGAAGGGCTCAAGTCAGGGCCTCGTGCCACTTCCTCTCTGCCCAATCAGAACTACATCCACAGTCAGGGAACTCTGAGGTGGGAGGGAAGGGGCACTTCAGACACCCCTGGTCTGTATTTGCTGTGGCTGTTACTACTGTCCTATCTATCCATGACCCTCCCCGCCTGCTTCCCCCAGGTTCTCAGCTTCCTTGCTTCCATGGCTCCAGCACCATTCGCAACCTCAAAGAGAGGTTCCACATGAGCATGACAGAGGAGCAGCTTCAGCTACTGGTGGAGCAGATGGTAGATGGCAGCATGCGGTCCATCACCACCAAACTGTATGACGGCTTCCAGTACCTCACCAACGGCATCATGTGATATCCTCCTTCTCAGGCCCAGGGGTGGTGGGTGGAGCCCAGGGGCCCTCCCAGAGGAGCCCTTGTCTGAGAAATCCCAAACCAGGAAACCACCTACCCATCCATCCACCCGAGGGAAATGAAAGGCAAGAAATACAAAGGATCATGTGGTAACAGGCAAGAGACTGCGGGTGGGAGAGCCAGCTCTGGGGTCCAGACTTGCTGAGGCTTCCCTGCCCTCCAGCGCTGTCAGTATTACCACCTGACTGACTCCAGGACTCACTGCCCTCCAGAGAACAGAGGAGATGAATGTTGAGGGACGCCAGGGCCTATCTTCTCACCAGGATATGAGAGGTTCTCTGCAGGCCACCTACTTCATCTGTTCTGGGTCCCAAGAAAGGGGGATGAGTAGGTCTTTGGCACTTAGGACTCAATCCTGTGATTGGCCTTTGGCCAGGCTACTGCCCAACTGTGCCCCTCCCAGGAACTAGCCCTAGCCTAAGTTCCCCTAAGGTGGGCTCTGTACCTTCTGAGGTGCCTACTGCAGGGGCAAGGACAGGAATTACCAGGACCCCCACCCCCCGCCCATGTATGAGGGTGTGGCCTAGCCATGGGAATTCCTTACCCTGATCCCTTCCCCACACCCAGGGAAATAGCTCTCAATTTTTTATTTTTAATTTTTGTTTGAAATAAAGTCCTTAGTTAGCCATCTGTGTCACTTCCAAATTGGCTGCTTTTAAGGGGCAGGGGATGGGTGATGAGGAGTAAACAAAGGCACACACAGAAAGGGGAGGAATTCCTCGACTGCTCTGTCCCTGTCTTGGTCAGTGCCACTTCTTCCCTGAAAAGGGTCTCCCCAGGTTTGACTCCTGCCCCCTCCAACTTCACGTTGTCCAAGTCACAGAGGCCTGCATGGGGGTTAAACCACGAGCAGTTTTAATGGTCTGGTTTTCTATTTCCCCCATTGTTAGTATTATTACTACAAGAATAAAGATTCCTGAGAGCCTGTCTCCTCCTCCCTGGGCCCCCTTGACTGGACTCATCCCCACCAACCCCGCCCCTGGATTTCTGGGGTAAAAGAAAAGTGAAAGGCACTGCAGGGGTGGGGCGAGTTGAGCGCCAAGGAGTTGGGGGTGGGGTGTTAGGGCCTGGCCCAGAGGAAGAAAATTCCAGTCTGTGCCTGGAGGAATTGTGGAAGCTGTCCATGCCCCTATTGGTCCTTCCCTGTACCCATCTGGCAGGCCTATGACTGTCTCATCCTCCCAGCCCCAGTCCCACACTGGGGGTTCTGCAGCAAGAGCATAATTAGTGCTGGGCTCAGAAAGGAAGAATGGAGGGCCCACTACCAGGGCCCAAGGTCCTAACCCAAAAGGAGATTGCAAGTAACTATATTCCTCAAAAGCTTTTTCCTCAGGGTTGAGGGGGTGGGGGAAGAGAGGATTTGAACAAAATATGAATGTTAATGAAATGTCACAGCCCATGGACCAGGAAGCAGCAGGGAAAACCAGGCTCCTTGGGAAGAGAGAAGGGCTGGTCAGTCCTGGGCTTGAGGCCTAGTTGTCCCCGCTGCCCCCTTGCCGAGCCCTGATGAATGCCATGCCATGTGTGCGGAAATGGGTCTTGAGGTTGAGAGGGCTGTCACAACTCTTGCCACACACCTTACAGGTCAGTGGGCCCCCGGGAGGAGGCAAGGTTGAATCTCCACCATCTGGGTCAGACCTTGATGGAAGGGGACCCTCTTCCTCCCCATCCCCCAACTCCAGGGCACTGGCCCTACCTACACCCCGTCTCTTCTTGTGGCTGATGAAACGGTGCCGGCTCAGTGAGCCAGGGGAGGCAAAGCATAGGCCACAGTCGAGGCACTGTTGGGCACCACCACCCACCCTCAACCCCACAGCAAGGCTCTGTTCCACTGGTCCACTGCTTCGGTAGCGCATAGGGCCACGGCCTCCCAACCCAAGTCCTCCTCTGGGGGACTTTGCTGGCGGTGTTGTGCTGTCAGGCTCCTCGCTGCAAGAGTCAGAAGACTGGCGGCGTTTCCGGCCTGGCGCCTAGAGGAGAGTGGTGGAAACTGGGCCTCAACCATCACCCCCAGTCCTTGCATCTCCAAGACTGGGCCATTAGCCCAGCTTCCCACTCGCATGGTCCTTGCACAGCAGTCTGGCCTGTGCTTACCTGGGATCGGGCACCAGGTCCCCGGGCATTCCCCCGGCCAGTGGACGGGGCCCCAAGCGGCAAGCCATGCCGGACCTGCACGTGCTTCTCCAGGATGAGGCGGCTGCTGAAGGTGCGCTTCCCCTCCGTACAGTACCTGCAGGAGAGGGGCATAACCCAAGGCTGACAGGAGCCAGCCAGAGGAGTGCTCAGCCTCAGGCCACTTAGACAAGAGGCAGGTGAGAAAGTTCTCTGGGATACTGGGAAAGCCTTTTGGGAAGATGGGGGCAAGGGTTACCTGCATGGGTAAACTCGCTTGATGCCCTCGTGATTGACCCTGACATGGCGCCTCAGGCTGGGTGCCGAGCAGAAGGAGCGCTCACATAGCCGACAGGGAAACTTTTTCACTGACTGGGAGAGCAGGGGCAGGAAATGTCAGAGCCAGGCTGCAGGGCCCTGTCCCCATTGTCACACAGCTGGCCCTTCCTGTCCCCCTGGGGCCACTTACCTTGCCATGTTCCTTCTTCATGTGAGCCACATATTCATCACGCTCAGGGAACCAGGAATGACAGAGGCCACAGGTCCAGCCACCACCACCTCCCCCACCCTTGATGCCTTTGCTCCCTACTTCCCGCCGTGCCCGTTTGGTTGGGCGGGGGCGCTCAGGGGAGCTGGGCAGTTCTTCCTCTTCTGAAGATGAAGAGGATTCCTCAGTAGCAGGTACCGCCCCTCCCCCAGACACAGCCAGGTCTTCAGGCTCAGTCTTAGGTGTCAGAAGGGCACTCCTTTTCCCAGCAGGCTCCTCTCCCAAGCACCCAGACTGATGGGTGTTCTGTAGAGGGAGACAGGGCAGGGCTATTGTGGGGGAGGCCTAGCTTTTAACCCCTGCTCCCACCGCTGAGGGATGTGACCCCAGTCCCAGGTCAGCACAACTAAGCACCCACCCCCAGTCCTCTGTCCTGTACCTTGAGATGTTCCAACATGGTCCTTTTTTGGGCAAAGAGTAGAGGGCAGGATGGGCATTTAAAGACACTAACACGCTGGGGCAGCAGGTGCTGGTCGACATGCGAGGACAGCAGGGGCTTGTGGGTGAAGACCGTGTCACACATGGCGCACTTGTAGATCTGCCTGTGGGCAGAAGACAGTGTGACATCAGGTGGGGTAGGCATCCTGCCCCCTGGCTTGCCCCCAGCCCGTGGTCTCACTTGGCCTGCTGCATGAGGAAACTGGGATGCTGGGTATAGAGGTGAGCATGGGCGCTGGGTCCAGACTTGAAGGCCATGGGGCAGATGGGGCACTTGTGGAAAACCTCACAGTGCGAAGCCTGGACATGGGACTTGATGGAGTTCATGCTCCCAAATACCACCGCACAGCTGGGGCACCTTGGGGAGGAAGCAGAAGCCCCTGTGGTGAGGTGAGGGCATCTCATGCCCACCCTCACCCCGTTTATTCTCAGGGACTGGTCCTCCAAGGAGGAAATCAGCAGTGAAGCCTGAACAAGGCAGAGCAAGAGGGAGCTGTAGAGGCCTGGGGAGCGGCACTCCAGAGGCAACCCACTTCCCCTCAACTCTGTGAGGAAGGTAGGACTTGCCACTTCAGGATGGAGTCTGCCCACACAACAAGGCCAAGAAATGGCAGGAGAGATGGGAGTCTCCCCAGGAGACCCTAAAGCCCCATGGAGGGAAGGGTACGAGGCACCTGTATCCTACGCGGCGAGAGAAATGCAGACAGGCCTCACGGAGATGGGTCTGAAAATTGGCTTGCAGGAAGTTGCCCCCACACTCGGGACAGACGTGTGGGGGTCGATTCTTATGCATGCGCTGGTGGGCACTGAAGCTGCAATGGTTGGGGAGCATCATGGGGCAGGTTGGGCACACCTGTCAGTGGGTCAAACAAGGCAAGGCGGTGAGGAGTGTCTTGGACCCCCTGCTTCTAACCAAGCCCCCAACTCCTTCCTAGATCTTATCACCACAGCATGTGGCTATCCCCATCCCAGATAAGGGCTGTGAAAGGCAACTCACAGTGCTAGTGGCCCCAAGGGCAGGGGGCCCAAGCTGCTGGAAGTGGGCTGCCATGCCAGCCTTGTCCCGGCACTGCTCCTTGCACTCCAGACAGCGAAAGCACGTGTAAGCAGAGGTGGCAGGGGCAACAGGAGGGTCCACTGAGAGTGGCAGAACAGGGGCCTCAGGAGCAACTGTTGTGATGGCAGATGTGATGGCCCCCTCACCCTTGCCTAAGGCAGGCAAGATCAGAGGTCCAGGAATAGGTGGGACAGCCACAGGCAGCAGGGGTGTAATGTCCGGCTGCCCCACCATCTGGTCGAGGGCCACTGGCCTCATGACCAAATGCGAGCACTGCATAACAAGCCCCTTGTCCTTATGCTCGCGGGCGTGCAGGAGCAGGCTGCACTTGTTAAAGAAGACCAGGCGGCGCGCGCAGTGGTTGCAAGTGACCTCGATGCGCATGCTCCGGCGGTCATAGTGTCGTGCCAGACTCTTCTCCAGAGAGAAGGCGTCCCCACACTCAAGGCAGCGATAGCCTGTTGGGGGCAGGGCCAGCCCAGCCTCCACAGGCGGGCTCAGGTTTGGCCTGTACGCAGGCAGCAGGTTCTTGCTGGTGAGGACCTTGTTAAAGGCTTCCACCAGGCTGGATTGTGTCCGTGAGATCACCGTGCCGCCTCCCACACCTGCCCCAGTGGCTGTCTTTGAAGGATGCACCATCACCACTGAGGCACCATTCACCTTCTGCCCCCCTAACCCCAGCCCTGCCCGCCCCTCAGCTTTGGACAGGGCTTGGGGCACCAAGCTCAGTACATTCTTAGCAATCGTCTTAGGACTGGTGGCAGTCCCCCCAGGAAGAACTACAGCTTTGCGGGCCACACTGGCTGCCATCAGCATGGCAGTGCTGGCATTCTGGATGGTGGCCACAGGGAGCACAGTGCCCTTCAGCCTCGTACCATCACCCAACTGCACACTCACCACCTTTGGACCTTCAGGGGCTGGTGTTGCAGGGGACAGCTTTAGGAGGCTGGCCTCAGCCAGGAAGGCCCCCTCAGCCAAGGGGGCAGGCGTGTCAGGGTCCGAGGGGATTCGGGTTACAGTCCTTGTGATACTCCCGCAGGATGTCTTAATGGTTTTGATCCGCACTTTCAGAGGCCTAGAGGAGCTGGAGGAGGTGGGGGAGTCATTGCTGTCCTCATCTGCTGCCTCAGCTCCACTAGAAGGACTATGGGGACTTTCCTGGAGAGACTTGTCCACTGGCCCCTCGTCTTCTTCCTTCAGGGGCTGACAGCTGGGTACTTTGAGGGAGGTGGGAGGGCTCTGATGCCCTGGAGATTGCTTGAAGAAGGGCATTCCAGCAACCGGGGGGGATGAGGTGCTGGCAGGGATGCCCGAGGCTTTAGGGTTAGAGCCCAAGGCTCCCTGGGCTATATCCTGGGGGTGAAGGGGGCTGCAGCTTTCCTGTTTCAAGGCCCGCAGCAGTGGGGAAGAACCAGGTGGCAGCAGGTTTGGGCCATTCTCCTGGCCCAACTCAAAGGGAGATGAGAAAGTGGGTGGGGTCATGGCCCCCTCCCGAGAGGAAGGTGCAGAGGAAGGCAGGGTATCTGAGTGCTCCCCTGGCTCAGGCCCAAAATGAGCAAAGAGGTCTAAAGGAGTTTTGTCTTCCATGGCTTTTTCTTTCCAGGTATCCACAGTGGGAGGAGCTGGAGAGTGAGGGGTTCCTGGGAGAGATGCCTCAGGGCCCCCAAAACCATTTTGCATCAGACAAGGCTCCACACATTCTTCCTTAATCAATACCTCAGCCTGCCCCCCCTCCTCTCCTAACTCCCCAGCCAGAGCCTCAGACTGCTCAGGACACACAGTATGCTTGACAATGACGCTGACTGTGGAAATATCTGGCAGTGGCAGGCCATGCTCAGAAGCCTGGGCTGGACCCACAGGGCCATCCCCAGCAGAGGCTGCTTCTGTATCTTTAGATTCGACTCCTCCACTGGGTTCTGGCTTCTCTGGGCCTCTTGGCCCCTCATTTTCTTCAGGCTCAGAGTGGATGGCTTCATTCGCATCAATGTCAGGGATATCAAAGGCAGCAAGGAGGTCATCGAAATCAGGGGTCTTCATGTCCCCCATAGCGCCCAGACCTGATGAAAACAGGAAGGAGCAGGAAAAACTGAGACATCCAGAAGACAAGCCCTGGACTTCCTCCCTGAGGATTTCCCTATTTAACCTCTCTCAAAACAGAGGTGCTGGAGGTGCTAACTTGCCAACCCCTGACATCAGAAGAGGCAGCATGCACGTACCTGGTCAGTCTCCAAAATCCAGAGAAAGCAGAGGAAAAGAGACTTCTCAGAAATACAAAGTAGGGCCAGGCATAGTGGTTCACACCTGTAATCTTAGCACTTTAAGACACCAAAGGAGGATTGCTTGAAGCCAGGAATTCAAGACCAGGCTGAGCAACATAGCAAGACCCCATCTCTAAAAAAAAAAAAAAAAAGTTGAAACACTTAGCTGGGTATAATAGCTCACAACTGTAGTCCCAGTTACTTGGGAGATTCTCCTGAGGCAGGAGAATCACTGGAGCCCAGGAGTTGGAGCCTGCAGTGAGCTATGATTCCACCACTGCACTCCTGATGACAAAGTGAACCCTATCTCTAAAATAAATAAAAATAAATAGAGTCTCAAGCTGTCACCCTGGGTAGAGTGCCATGGCATCACAGCTCACAGTAACCTCCAATTCTTAGGCGCAAGAGATCCTCTTGCCTAAGTTTTTCATTTTTTAGTAGAAACAGGGTCTCACTTTTGCTCAGGATGGTCTCAAACTCGAGCTCCAGCTATCTAGGATTACAGGTGTAAGGCACTGCACCCAGCCTATCCAGCCTAACAAATATATATATATACACACACACACACACACACACATATATACATTTTGTTGTTGCTGTTGAGACAGTCTCACTCTCACCCTCAGTAGAGTGGTGTGGTGTCAGAGCTCATAGCAACCTCAAACTCTTGGGCTTAAGTGATTCTCTTGCCTCAGCCTCCCAAGTAGCTGGGACTACAGGCGCCCGCCACAACACCCAACTATTTTTTTGTTGCGGTTGTCATTGTTGTTTAGCAGGCCCAGGCTCGATTTGAACCCACCAGCCTGTGTATGTGGCCAGCGCCCTAACCACTGAGATATGGGCACCAAGCCTACAAAGAAGAGTATAGAGGCACAGGTAGCTCATCCTCTCTTCTGCCCAACAAAGAATTAATCAATTGGTATTATTATCAGAGAGGAGGATATACACAACACTCTAGGTTTGAAGGCACATTCATGTCAATAGAGGAACAATTCCTATTCTTCACAGGTCTTCTGGGATCCACAGAGATCTGACAGGCCATATGTACAAAAGGGAAGTAACATAAGGAAAAACTTAAGAAACAATTCTGGGGTGGTGCCTGTGGCTCAAAGGAGTTAAGGCACCGGCCCCGTATGCTGGAGGTGGCGGGTTCAAACCCAGCCCCGGCCAAAAACTACAAAAAAGAAAAGAAACAATTCTGGATTAGCTTGGTCATGGGCTGCCACAGAAGCAAATTATTTCAGTACCTTACTTTTACTGTTTGACAAAGGGGACAAGTGATCTATGTGTCACAGGGTCATTCTGGAATGATATGAAATTGTAAGTGTACAGTTAAGTACACCCCACCCCCTCCTCGCAACCCCAGACCTATTCTCCAAGTCAGATCCAGGATAGGACTGATTGTTCCAGCTGGGCCAAGCAGGACACATCAAGTCAAGGAGGAGCTGGGAAGGAATAAGCACTAGGAACCTGGGATGGAGTCAGAGACAAGAGTCAGGGGCATGTAAGGTCAAATCGGCAGCACCTAGGGCCATCAATTGCACCTGGAGATCTAGCTTGGTCAGTGGGGAGATGTGGACTGAGTGAAATCATCCAAGAAACTTAGATGGAAGAATAAGACAGAGGAACAGAAAGAAACAAAGAGAAGAGAGACAGAGGGGAAAACAGTGACGGCAGCTTGGTCACAAGGGCCCCAGCCTAGGCCTCTCCTGCCACAAACACCTGCTGCTCCCTCACTACCTTCCCCAGAGGGCCTTGGTCTGCCCTCCCCATCTTACTTTCTCAGCCAAACCCCCATGGTAACAGCTTAACCAGCACAGCTGCCACGATGGGGACAATCCAGCTCCTGGCCTCAGTCTACTCCCCAACTCAAACTGCTTGCCCTCAAAATCCTCCTTTGGCCACAAGAGCCCAGGAGGTCTCACCCAACCCCAACCTGAACCAGCCCCCCCCAAAATCCTACAAGACATACGTGGCACTAAATCAACAAGAAGGCCAGCTCAGAGCATGTGGGCACCCAGGTCTGTCCCCTACCAGTTTCTCCCCATAAGTGTTTTTGTGTCTTAAAGAGCAACTAAAAAAGTCACTATCCTGGGCAGTGCCTGTGGCTCAGTGGGAAGGGCACCAGCCCCATATACCCAGAGTGGCAGGTTTGAACCCAGCCCCAGCCAAATTGCAACAACAAAAAATAGCCGGGCATTGTGGCAGGCACCTGTAGTCCCGGCTACTCGGGAGGCTGAGGCAAGAGAATTGCCTAAGCCCAAGAGCTGGAGGTTGCTGTGAGCTGGGACGCCACAGCACTCTACTGAGAGTGACAAAGTGAGACTCTGTCTCTAAAAAAAAAAGTAGCTATCCTTACACATTCTCTGCTCAGGATGCAAGCCATTTCCCAGGGCCAATTCTCTCACCTCTTTCCAGCCTTCAGACTGTAACTGGAGACAGTCCCAGCAGGTGGCAGCTGGCATTGCTGGAGACCAAGGTGGGGGTGGGGGAAAAGGTGTGAAGTAGAAGAAAGCAGGAGTCCTCCCCTCACCTCTGCCCCCTCACTTAATTCTGCAGACTGTGCTTGAACAAAGCCCTTCACCTTGTTCCAGCCCTGTTGAATCCACAGGGTGGTCCTGGGCCTTGCTCACCCCCCACAAAGAGGACTCAGAAGAGTGGGCTGGTCAAGCACAGGCTGGGGGGACTATAAGAAAACACTAGAACTCACCTCCCCCAACCATCTCTCTCTTTGGCTTCCAAGTGACTTAGAGGTCATCCAATCGCCACCAACCGAAAGCAGTCAACTAAGCAGGGACCTCAAGGCCAAGGAGACTCCCCTTTCCCCTACCTAGCCCTTTCTGCAACTGCTGGCACCCTGCCCCTAGGGCTCCCACCTCCCCTTCTCCCTCTTCTCTGTTCTTCCCCAAAAGCCAAAGGTAGGGACCGAACAGGCCCAGGTAGGGTGGGGGCTTCACTGCTCTCTGCCCGGGCCCCAGGCCTGCTGCGCAGAGGAGGGCAGAGGAGGGCGAGGGGCCGGCGATTAGGTTGCGGCCAAGCTGGGCAGCCGGTGGAATTAAGTCCCTGCCATCTGCCGTGGGCTAGCGCGGGGAACAGATCTGGGGTTGCAAGGAGGAGGCGGGGTGTACTTAAGAGAAGCTAGAGGGGAAACTGAGACGCACGGCGCTTCTCTCGCTCCCCTCACTCCCACCTGCATGCACAGTGAATGAAGACCGGGCCTCAGCCAGGCCAGGTCCGTGGGGAGCTGCTGCGCAGAACCTTGGGGCTCCGGACTAAACAGCACCGGGGGATGCATGGAAGGAGTGGGAAGGGAAGGTCTCAGCGTGACTCTCAGCTCTGCAGTTGGTCGGTCCCAACTCGGACCTCGTCCCTCCCCTCTGTGCGCAGTGCAGCCTCCTCCTGGCGCGGACTCCGGAGTCTCTTGAGACAGAGGAGTGATCGGAAAGCGCTCGGCGGGCCGGGGGCACTAGCCTGAGTCTTGCGAGGCCCGGGCGCTGACCCCCGCCCAGTCGAGGTGCAGGCTCCGCTGCGGCCTGGCCCAGTTCCCCCGCCCCCATCCCCGGACACGGACACCATTTTAGGTCGCGACATCCCGCAGCCTCCGGTCCCGGGCCGCACTTCAGGAACCTCTTGGGCTGGGGGGGCTGGGACTTAGGGTCCCCAACCCTCCTATGTTTACCCGACTGGGTCTGTGCTTCCAACACACTGGGAGTTTCGCCCATCTACCCAAGGGATGGAGGCGGCGTCTAGGCCTCCCTAGAAGCCGCCCCAGGGGGCGGCGCGGAGAAGGGGGGGTAGTTGACCAAGTGGGGGAGGGGCGGGGGCATTTACCCGCCCCCCCAGGGGCGGAGCCGAGGGCGGGTATTTACACCAGCACACTTACTTGTTCCGCTCCCGGTGCGAACCGGGACTAGGCGATCTATACCCAGCTCCAGCCGCCGCCGCCGCCGCCGCCCTCCCTACGGCCGCCGCTACTTCCTGCTTCTCTCCGGTTCGGCCTCCCTCCTCCCTCAGCGCCCTCCGCGCTCCGGGCCGGGGGTGCCCGCTTTTGCACTCGCCATTGGCCGGCCCCCGCGTCGTTCAGTCCTGCGCCCCTCCCAGCCCCGCGCCGGGTTGGCCTTAAGTACTGCCGCTCGGAACTGGCCCCGCAAGGTCCTCGTATCCTCATTGGGCGTAGAACCTAGGCCCCTTGAAGAATCCTCTCCTCATTGGCAGCGCCGAGGTCCACCTGCCCCTTCGGTGCATCTCAAAAGCGATTGGCTTGCGTCACTGTCGCTTAGAAAGAAGCCAGCGTGATTCCCGGCTTTCCTATTGGACGGGAGACCATCCCAAGTGCGTCTCCGCCCCTCACTCCCTATTGGCCGCCCGGAGATTGGCGCTGCTGCTCTTATGCAAATTTAGGAACTTTGCTTTTGCGTAGTGGGCACTTTGAGCAGAACCTGGTTGACTCCGAGCGGAGCCCTGAAAAGTAGATCCGTTTTCTTTTTTTTTT